CTTCCAACCCAAACCATTCTGATTTGCAACTTCCAGCATATGAAAACTGGATCTTTCAGAAAGATCAAACTGTGCTTTGCTAAAAACACACAGAAGCAAATGTGTCTGTACTATTTAAGTGCTGCGTGTTTGAGCCTGGACTCTGTCCACAGTCTGTCCCTGTACTCCCCTACTTCTTTCCTTTTACAGATCTTAAGTTTCTTCTCAAGAACTGTCTGTTTGTTGTCTGGTTTTCATCTCAGTTGTTGTACATTACCATCCAAACCATGTGCCAAAACCATGATGCTATTAATAGGGGAATGGGTGGGATGTATCTTGACTATTTGATACACAAAGTACCTCTTTATTGTGAATGTGTGATGCTTATGCTAATGATGTTTACTGATAAATCTGAAGTTAGATGACAGAAGGAGACAGCCTGATTTCTGAAGTATAATTACCTACAAAGTATAATTATAATTCTGAAGTGTCAATTTTTTATTTAATTAAACTTCTGCAGTGTGGCTGTGTAAGTGCTCTTTAGACTTTCTCAAGTTAGAATAAAATACATTGAGGAGGGGGAAAAGTGGTTTCTTGATCCTGAAGATCTCTTTGTATTGGCTTTCTGCTGCTAAAAAAAAAAAAAGATTCAATCTGAAGATGTGCTTTTACCAAAGCAAAATATTATCAACATCTTTCTACTACTTGTAATCAAGAAGTTTTCCTAAGGATGTATCAAAAGGTGCAGCTCACATTCTGCTAGCTAGGAGGCTTAGAAATGAATGAGGCTTTTAGAGATGCTGCAATTTTATTACTTTCTTGCATTTTAATAGCTACCCCTGAAGAGGAAGAATTGGTATTTATGGGCTGTGCCTGTAGGTCTGTGTTGCGATGATGTCCTGCTGTCTAGTTTTGTTTCTTTCAAGAGCCTCTTTAAACAAAACTATCAACCTCCTTCCTTTTTACCCTTCAGCAGTGTAACGATGTTTTTGTGTGGAGGCTCTACACACTGTAGGTGTTGCTAGATGGTATTTCTTGTTCTCACTGACTGATGGGTTCAGGGTACTTTTGCCTTAACACTTTGAGACACAGCATCTCAATTTACAACGGATGTTGAAATGCATTAGTAACTTCACAGTGTATGCTATTAATTCTTGACAGGAAAAGAATTTCATGCAAGACTTCTGCTTGTTTGGTGTTCTCTTTTTAACAAGATGCATGTGAAAACTACCCATCTGAACTTATTGGCAGGCAGACTCAATATTCAATTGTCAGTCTGTTAAGCGAGACTTAAGGGGAAGAAAGCCTCTTAGTGTAATGGATTGTGTAATACTCAGGGAAACTTGTCTAATATGGTTATCGGTAGAAAGTAGGGGTGAAGTGTCTGTTAGAGCTCAATGAATGAGCTGGAGCTTAAAGCTCACCACCACTTCTTAAGATTTCTTGTCACGAAATTAAAAAACCGTGAGGTTTTTCTGAGCATGCTGTTTGCTTTAAACTGAAAGCTAGACATGCGTGCATGCCCAGGAGCACTTCTGGCTGAATGAACACGTTGACACTACTTTGCTTCTCTGTGTGTTTAGCTCTTCTCACTCTTGATACTGGATATTCCATTTCCAGGTAGTCCAGCAACCGTCAGGAACCATTGTAAAGCAAGTATCCACACTCCCGCAATCCCCAACGCTGACCCTACAGACATCTGCTGAGAAAAAGATGCCACTGCATACGCTTGTTCAAACTAACCAGTTTCCTGCAGGTAAAGTGGAACCTTGTTAGTGGAGAAGGGAGAGGAACGCTGAGGTGTATAAATAAGCACAGGCTGTTGGTGGACTGTAGCAATGTAAGAAGGTAGTTGTGGGGAGCAGCCAGCTCTGTGTGGCAAGTCAGATATCTTCGCTGTCTGCTTGCAGTTCTGATGACAAACTCAGTGTGATGTCGACTTCTGGCACCTGTTAAAGGCATGTTGATCAAAACTTCATACTCATTAAAATACTGCAAGTAATCTCCTTGCAGTAAGCTTCCTTTAAACAGTGATGCTTTTGAGAGTTGTTTCATGAGACTTTGCTTTAACCCTTGGCAGGTTCAGGTGGATGCATCCTGTGAGTTTGTCTCAGCCAGCCAGCTTTCACTAAAACCTTTCACTGGTCAGCACAGAGAAGGATGTTTGCTTAGCGCATGTAAGGTTTTTGGCCACACAAAACCTGTAGAATTGTAAGACACCAGAGTGTCTGGTTTTAAACAGACCTAATCAGTTGTTGCTGAGTTGCAGCAGCCTTTGCTAGATGTATGAACAGTTATCTTAGTATTTTGCTTTCTGATATGGTATGTTTTGGGTTTTTTTTTAGGTTCCATTCTGAAACAAATTACCCTGCCAGGAAATAAAATTCTGTCATTTCAAGCATCTCCTGTTCAGAAACCTAAAGTAAAAGAGAATGGAGCAACATCCTTCAGGTAAAAATAAACAGTATCAGAAGTTTATTATAGGAAGGAACAAAAGCAACAGACAAGAAGTAAGGAGGTGGGAACAGAGCCCAAAAAAACACAACTCTCTTTAGAAACTTGTTTGATAGGTGTTTTTCACATTGTAGTACTAATCAGCAAGGGGGAACCTAAAAACGTTGACCTCACAGCAGATCTTAGTTATTCTTAATATAAGAAAACTGACCTGATGAGGTTGGATTTTCATCATGCTGTCATAAGAGTGCAATTATATGAACCATGTGTGTCAGTATGTACCAGTTTTTCACTTGTAGAGGAGGCGTATTGATCTTCATCCTGAGTACTATTAACTAATCGACAGCAAAGTTACCTTGTATTAAAAGCTCTCCATAGGACTGATGTGGATAAAACCTCTGTTTATTATAGATGGACGAATAGCATTGGACTGTTACTTGGGCTGGCTGGTAACCTGTCTAAAGCTCTGTGCTGTATTTCGAAATCTTTTATTAGCATCTCTTACAAGCTTGTTCCTGTATATAGAGGTGAAAGTCATTGACTGCACCTCTAATTATGGCTTCTGGCATATTCTCTAGGCCTTTAGATTACAAGAGTGCTTAAGGCTTTTAGATCTTGTAACTGATTAACTTTTCTCAAAAGCAGATTTTTTTTTTGTAGCTCTAAAATGTAATTTTGGAACAGAGGTACAGACTGTCAAAAGCATTATTGGTCTTGTGACTTTAAGGCAAGCTTGAGGTTGCTCCTCCAGGGATAAAACCAGACATGACACCTTTGTCTTGTTGACATCTCTTGAAAGCTACAGCTTTGTGTGTGCTGGCATAGACAGGGAGCTGTTGTTGTTAGAGTAACGTGTAGTATAGAGTGAACACTTAAAACACTGGTAGCCAGAAGTTGAAATGAAAAGCTGATGTTAAAGCAATAGCTCACCTATTGTAGTTCAGCTGCCTCAAGCTCTTATGAAATATATCCGAGATGTCAGAGATCAGATCAGGAAAGCCAAAGCCCTGACAGAATTGAACCTGGCCAGGGACATCAAGGCCAACAAGAAGGACTTCTATAGGTACATAGGGAATAAAAAGAAGATCAGGGAGAATGTGGGCCCTCTGCGGAAGGAAATGGGAGAGCTGGCTCCCCAGGTCATGGAGAAGGCCGAGGTACTCAATGCTTTTTTTGCCTCGGCCTTCACTGGCAAGGGCACAAGCCATACCCCCAGAGTCATGGAAGACAAGGGCAGGGATTGGGAGAATGGAGAGTCACCCATGGTCACTGAGGATCAGGTTTGGGAACGCCTGAGGAACCTGAAGGTGCACAAGTCCATGGGACCTGATGGAATACATCCACGGGTCCTGAAAGAACTGGCGGCTGGGGCGGGGAAAACCCTATCTGTCATATTTGAAAAGTCGTGGCAGTCTGGTGAAGTTCCCGCTGACTGGAAAAGGGGAAACATAACCCCCATCTTTATAAAGGGAAAAAAGAGGACCAGGAAAACTACAGGCCAGTCAGTCTCACCTCTGTGCCTGGCAAGATCATGGAGCAGATCCTCCTGGAAATCATGCTAAGGCACATGGAGAATGAGGAGGTGATTGGTGACAGTCAGCATGGCTTCACCAAGGGCAGATCATGCCTGACGAATATGGTAGCCTTCTACGATGGGGTCACGGCCTTGGTGGATAGAGTCCTGTATCTGTGTTCTCTGAGCAGGGCTAGAACCACATGGTGTTAATCTGTCCCAGGCAATAGATACTCCTCAGTAAGCCGTGAAGTGGTTTGCTCTCTTGTGTCCTGACTTCCAGTATTCCCAGCACAGCTCTTCTTTGTGACCTGTGATCCATCAACTGGTGACTGTGTGTGAGGCAGAGAGAAGCACCATGGCTGCCTTTCAGGTTTTGTGATGAGACTCATTATGGGCAGAGAGCATGTCTTGTGATTGTACATGTGACACTTGCACACGAGACTCTGGTCTTGCATTGCAGTATGTCATCGAGTCTGTCTCCCTCTGCCATTGTATGACTAGGTTAGGGCAGGATTTGAGAACAAAATACTAAGATGTACTTAAGCGGCAATTGGACCTTATGCGCTCTTTAAAGGGCTGGTTTAGGTTGCTTGAGATGAATAGTAAGAAAAAATGGTGATTCCTGGCCCCCGCCTCCCCCTATTTAAAAAAAAAAAAAAAAACCAAAAACCCAGAAAAAACCCCAAAACCAAACCGCAAACACAAACAAACAAAAACCCACAAAACCCAACAAAAATAAACCCAAAAAAACCCAACCAACCAGAAAAACCCCAGCTTGTAGAGATTATTTCAGCTAAGTGTGGGCAACACTGACACTTGACTGCCCTGTGGCATGTGTTGTAATGGGCAGTCTGTTTTAAAAGCATCAGGATTTTTATGAACTGCTCTGCGTACTTCTGTGAAGTACATGCCAGAGTACCCTGGATAAAACAAGACACATATTTGCACCTTCAAATATTTGGTTTGCATCTACTTTAATAGAGTTGTTCTCCAAAGCATATACAACTCTGATTTGTGCCTTTTGTCTGGAAGGTACCAGCAATCCCAGCTAACAGACAAACAGGAATGAGACAGCAGAGTGGAGAACATCTGGGCAGCTGCTCCTCCTGCCCTGTGGTGGTGGGGAGCACTGGTGATTTTTGCTCTGATGGAATTGTTCTGTCCCACATAGTTGTCCGTGATGGTGTACAGAGGTTTGGGTTAAGCATGCCTTTCTAGTTTTCCTTTCAACTTTAGTATAAAAGGAGCAAAGACGTATTTGGAAGACTACGTGTGCGTGTGTCAGGCACCAGAGGGTGCCACAGACTCGCTGTTCAACCTGTACAGGCAAACCCTAAATGTGTGGCGCGTCTGCATTGCTGCTTAGGCTGCTTTTCCAGTCGAGTATCCTGTGTAAGTGTCCAACTTGACTTCATGCAGAATAATGCTCAGAACTCTGTTTTTCCCCTTGTCCTGATAAGCTTAAATCACTGCAGAATTATGACAGCTGGGAGAATTTTGCTTTTTGATTTCTGGGTGTGACATGATCATATGCAAAAAGCATTAAAGGAGGTGTTGTAGAAGGGGGGGCTTTATGGGTGGATTGTTTAAAATGAAAGCAAGTCAGTGTCCAGCAGAAATGCCTGCATATATACTTTGGAATATTTCAAATTTATCACTTTAGTGGAATAAATTTTATAGCTTACTCAAAGCACTTGATAACTTACTTAAAATGATTGAGGTTTGTTTGAACAGCAAGGAAAAAAAGAATAGTAGAAAGAACATGGTTTGAGAAACTTTCATTAATCTTTAGGGGGTACTATTTCTAAGGAAATGTAATGATAAATTCTTTGGGTTAAATAAGTGCAGCAGTGTTTTCATAGTCATCAAGGCTAGTGACTTAGTGCAAACTTGTCTCAGAGTGGGGAAATGAGAATTGGTGCTTAAAAACAGTACAGGTAGAGAAGTCTGCTTGCATATAAGCTCTTCTCTGTGTGTGCTCACAAAAGAGACTTGTGTGCATGGAAATACTGAAGAAAACAGTAACCTGATGAAGGCTGGTTTTAGAGAACTGAAACTTGTGTATGTAGAAAGGTGGATAGATGTGTAGTACAGAAATTTACTTCCTTCTTGCTTGAGTATTTGAAGTATGTGGCCAGATTAAAAACTAAAATCATTTACTGAAACGGTGTGCTAGACAAGTATTCCATAAACAGCTCCAGTGGGGTGATGTCAGGCTCCGGCACCTGCAGTTCTAGTAGCTTGTGATGTATGTCCTTGGTGCTAGTTGTGCTGATTTCGTAATCTCTTTTATCAGCAGATCCGTGGCAGCCACTGCACCTTCGTTGGGGGTCTTGTCTCTGCTACCAGCAAAGGTTTCTCTGGAGTGGTCATTAAGAGGAAGAAACTTGTGAAAGATCAGTTAGCACTCAATTATCATGCAGTGAAGCTTCATTTACACACTTCTTGAAAGATCAGGGTCTCTGTTAGGCTGATAGAGCATGAGTATATGCTTGGAACTGGTATCTATACGCTGCTGGTTGTGAAGGGGTAGGAAGAGGGAAGCTGTTTTGGCAGCAGTGACTTCACCTTTAAATCGGAACTGTGGTCATTTAACTGATCTGACAGTCCTGGGGTTTAATGATGGATCTGGGGTACAAGCCTCGTCAGGAAGCTGTAGTGTCTGGTAAGAATTAATAAAGCTGGTTTGAGGACCTGTTGGGTCTCCCTTTCCCAACGCGAATCATGTAGACACTCCTAACACTGAGGGGTCACAGACGAATGACAGGAGGAGTAGGGGAAGGCTGGACTCCTTTTTTTTTTTTTTTTTTTTTAAGCCAGGCTCTTCTCCAGAAGTTTGCGGGTATGGATTTATGCCATAAAAACCTGTTGAAGCTCAAAGGAGAAAATGCATCTGTAGTTTAAGAAAAAATCCCAATGCTTTCTTGTGTCATTTGAGTATTGTTCAAACCTAACCTGTGTTTGAACGACTTCGGCTTCTACCTGTTGCCAGTCAGAAGACAGCCTATGAAAGATCCCATTTCACCTAAAAATGGCACATTTCTGGCTAACCCCTTGTTGAAGAGTTATGTAGGCCATACAGTATTTTCTGAAGGTGAACTTTATCAGACTTTGCCAGAGAATACTTTTCAAGAAGGGTGTGTGTGTTTAGGTGTTGTGTGGTGGTTTTTGTTTTGTTTTCTTCTCTTTGTTTTCCAAATCAAAAGACTTTCAGATTTATTGCCTCCACTTGTCTGTATTCATACTGCAGACTTCTGTTCTGGATTGGTCCTAAACCCTTGAAGCCACCATTAGGGACTTTGTCACTTTGTGAAGCAAAAAGGCTTTCTCTTGATCTGAACTTATTTGAAAGTAACTTGGATTGTTTCATTGCTAAAGTCCTGAAAAAACTTTTCCCATAAAAGATTAATTTAGTATTTTAACTTAAATGTTTAAACAAAAAAAAGTCGAGGCACATTGGCTATTTGTTTAACGTGAGCTTTGCTGTGACTACAGCTAGTTTTCATTATGTTAGCCCTAAGTATGCTGGACTTGAGGTGCAGATCTAAGTTGCTACAGCAGAATCCAGCTAACAGAGGGATGCTAAGAACTAGAGCTCTACCACTGTTCTTCGGAAGCATAGCATCCTCCCCACTACATATATAAATACTGTCTAGTAAGACTGGTTCGAAGTGCAACGTGTGGGCTGGCTCCAGTATAGACAAGGAGTGTTTGAGTGTGTGTGGGGTTTTTTAAGGGAACTGTAAAAGAAAAGAGATGATCAGATCTGTGCTAATATGCTTGTAACATAAGCTTCAGTTTGTAGGATGGGCATCTGGGAAAATAGGCTTGCTTGTAGTTCCTGAGTCAGTATTCAGCTTTATGCAACACTTGGTTCTACCTGGTGAGTTGGAGTTTTAGAACAAATTTCAAGCTGGTGCATGGTGGGGGCTTTGTGGGGACTTTTAATCCAGGTTTACCTCAGTCCTTGGTTTCTGAGTTTGCTCAAAATTTCATGTGAAGGATTTGCATGCCTGGTAACTGAGGCATTAGTCAAGCTAAGATTTGAGAGTCACTTCATTGAAGTGTGAAAGCTTCTCGGAGCTGACTGTCTGTCCCACACACACTAAACACCTATCGTATAGGGGTAGCCTCCAAGATACCTGAATGTGGCAGTTTGTTGATAGTCAAGAAGCTTTTTCTCTGTATCTGTTCTGAATGAAGCACAAAATGTTGGTTTTCTCTTTAGCAGAGATGAAGATGACATAAATGATGTGACTTCTATGGCTGGGGTCAATCTTAATGAGGAGAATGCATGCATTTTGGCAACAAACTCCGAGCTCGTTGGTACGGTGATCCGCTCTTGTGCAGATGAACCCTTTCTCTCCTCGGAAGCACTTCAGGAGAAAATCTTGAACATAGGTGAGAACAAGGCATAACGTAACAGAAGTCTATGGAGTAGTATTTCCTCGCCTGTTTCATCAGCTAGCTTCCAGTCTTTGAAGAAGAGGCTGGAACTATTTGTGACTGCCATATCAATTTACATGTTTCTACCAAACTATACTGAATTTTTACTTCCCCTTGTAGGAAACAACTGTTCTAGGTTTTTGCATGGAAATAATCTCAAGCACAACCAGAAAAAAGAAATTGGTGCCAGTATTACATGTGAGAACTCAAAAACTTTGTTACTGTTTTAAGTTAATGGCAGACATAACAACCATATTTATGATAGTGTCAAATCAAACATTTAAGTATGCTTTTCTATTTCTGCAGCTCCGAACTTGATGGATTGTGCCAGCTTTCCTAACAGCCTTTTCCTTCCTCAGCCTGTTCAGATATATGTACTCTATTGACCAAACATTACAGATCCTGCCCTTGTGAAACTTAGGAAGAAGTTTAAAACTGCCCGTATGCACAGGGCAGACCTTTGTTTATGACTCCCTCGTTGGAAAAATCTTTCATTAATTTTATGCAAAAGAGATGTTAAAGCTCTTTGTCATCCATCAGTGAATAATACTGTGGAACGTATGCTGAGCCTGCAGCATGAAGTGTAATAGTGTTTCTTAGTGTATGTGTATTTCAGCTGTTAGTTTCTAGGCAAAATAACAACTGTCACTTAGCAATGTTGCGTTATGTCAGAGCAGACAGGGTGCATTTGTACAGCACCACACTGACCGGTACCTCCGCTATCTGCAGCAAACTGGGTGCGTGTTGCTAAACTCCTTGCTCGCGCTCCCTGCTCGGTAGCTTGCCATACCGGAACATTGAGTTTTACAGCTGAGCGTTTAGGGAAGTCTGCAGTTCATACCTGCAGTCATAATTCTGTCACAGTGGTTTAACTACATGGTCGCAGAGTCTTTCTACACACAAATGAGACTAAACTAAGCAGCTAGCTTGTGATGAGCATGTACCCTGTAAATGCTACCTGCTGCCTCAGTACACCCCACACTAGTGTGCCAGACGTGCCACCTGAGCTGTATGGAATGTGGTTGAGTGAAGTAAGTGCTATGCTTCTGGTGAGAAAGGGAAAATACACATTGAAATGGGTGCCTGGGAAGTTTTTCTCTAAGTAGGGGGTTAACCAGTCATCCATGGGAAGTGGGTGTAAGAAAAAGAGAGATCTACAAAAAAACGTAAAGTACTTATTCTAGAATAATTGTCTGGTTTGGGGTCTGAAGGCAATTAATTGAAGGATGGAAAAACCAGGCCTGGCTGTTTCATGGCAGGCACGGCAGGCAGCCGTTCCACATTAATAATAGTAATTAAAGTTATAAATGAGAAGTGTTGTGATAGCAAGGAAAGGAATATTGTCGGGGAGTACAGCAGTTCAGAAGATAAACACTTCTGCTCTTGAAATGAGCTCTCTTTGGTTAGGGAGTATGTGGTTCTGGGGGCAGGTCTTGAGGTTTGGGGGTGGATTTTGTTTTGTCTTGAAGTTGACGTTTCAGTATTTTGATAATCTCTAGCGGGAAATTGCTGAGGAAGTGTTGAAAGGTGCTTGAGCAAAGTGAGCTTTATCCAAGGTACAGGCCAGTGCTTACTGGCCAAGATCAAATAGTGGGTACATCTTGATCATATCTGGGAAAACATTGTAGGTTGTCCCTGTCTTGCAAGGTTGTTATTCATTTTCAGTTAGCATAGCAAAGGCAAATGAAATAGGTGATTAGCTTTTTTTTTTACAGTGTACTGTTTATCCATTCTTAACACTCCACTTGGCAATAAATACTGAAATGGGTTTTGAAGGCGTGCTCTATATTGCATCATAAAGTATTACAGCCACTGTAAATGCGGCAAGAGGCAAGGAACAGTGCTTCTGATGGGTACGGCGTGTGAAGCTGCTGCCTGCCGTGCCTGCCAGGGAAAAGTAGCTGCTGCCCAGGTGCCTTGACGAAGTTGTGTTGAGTGATTGATGGTGTCAGCCAAGGGAAGGCTTATCCGTTGGCAGCCTGCAGCCGCAGGAAGGTTGTGGAGGTGATGCCCAGCTCTGGAGATGGGGCTGGGACAGCTTTGCCCGGAGCTGTTGCCAGCCTCAGTCGCAGCTGCTGAAATGCAGAGAGGCAGCGGCAGCCCGAGAGAAAAGGGTGAAGGTGATGGCATGACCCCGACTGGACTTGGTCTGTGTATCCCGAGCTGCTGCCGTGGGATGGTTGGGTAGGTCTGCCTTGTGCCGGTTGGTCGAGGCAGGTGAGAGCATCCCATGGGCCCTGATTGCGCTGCAAAAACCATCCCTGCTCATCAAATAAATGTCATGAGTTGTTAACAAGCACGGTGTCAAGCAGGGCAAAATGTAATTCTCTATTTTTTTTTTAATTACTGGAATTAACAGAATATGGCACTAATTTCTACAGCTACCACTTCTCCCCCTCCCTGAACATGAAGCTTGATTTGTGTTCTTATTAACTTTGTCCTATAAATGACCTTGCAAGGAGAGTGGTTCTGGAGGCTAAGTGAAACAATGTCTATATTTTCTGAAGCTCCAGGCTAAGTTTTATTAATGTAATGTCTAAGATCTTTGAAGTGGTGACTTTACCAGGAAAATCATAATCTCCAAACCTTTATTCATAATGGGTATGACTTCCAGGGGGAACAGAATACCTGCTGTGCTAATTATTTCAATTATCAGCTACTACTAAAACACGTAATGGATTTTCTCTGCTTCCACAGGTAAAATGCATGACATTATGGAACTTAACTCTGATGTTGTGAACTTGATCTCCCACGCTACACAGGAGAGATTACGAGGCCTCCTAGAAAAACTAACTGTAATTGCTCAGCACAGAGTATCAACCCACAAGGTAAAGGAAATCATTAAGCAAGTTTTGCACCAAAGTTTTCCTGCTTTGCAGCCTTGAAGATAAACCTCTTCCAAGTATAGGCACATCGTATGCAATATGTGCATTTTCAGTATCAACCAAAGGCTGGTTTTGTTTTAACTGTTTATAGCCTCTAACTATTCCTTAACGTTTTCCTTTCGACTTGTTGGATAGGTGCTCTTAAAACCCAGCAAAAGAATAAGTGCATGCATTTCTCCTCTTCCATAGAAGTGGTGGCTGTTACACAAAATCTATCTTGCATGGTACATGTAAAGCTATTTTTGAATGCTTTTCGTGGTCAGGTTGATTTAGGGACTTGTGTTTGCTTTATGCATTTACTGTTGGTGGAAATGCAGTATTGGCTCAGTAAAAAGACTTGGGAAACTGAATTGAGTATTTTATTTTTAGAAAGTGCTCCATGTGAAGCCAGAGACCCCTTTGATCTTAAAGTTTCTGGAGTGGGAGGTTTTTTTTCCGTCAGTGGTACTTAAGACTCCCTTCCCTTCCTGTTATATTAGCTTCATTCAATTATAAAATATATTGGGTTCTAGTGAGTCAGTATCCCTTATGATGCTTGTATGGTACAGATGGGAAGCAATAACTTACTAGTGGGCAAAATAGCTCTTTGAGCCCTTTTTTTGTCCTTCAATAGTAAGATATTAGTCCTTCTTTCAGTATTGTTTAAAAAAAAAAGTGAAAAGCAGATGTATCTGTTGGGAACTTTGTACTTAATGAAATTTAACGGCAGCAACTAATGATGGGATAGAAGTTATTTTTGATCTGAACACTTTTACAGGCTTTTAAGTGCTGGAGAAGCAATAGTAAAGAGCAGGAACTATTTGGAAACTTATAAGTATTTACAGTGGTGTCTGGAGCAGCGGGATTATGCTGTTCTTTGCCAGAAGAAGATAAAGTAGTAAAAAATCAGTACAGAAAAAAAGTATACACGTTTTTATGACCAGTCGTTAGAAATCTGCATATATTGTGTTGTCTCTAGAAAGTGGGGGATGCGACAGAGCTTGTGGGGTGGAAACTGAAGTTCTGAGTAGCTGGTAGGGTGTAGTGTCTTGCAGACACCAAAGACAGCAAGGGAATGTTTTTGGACAGTGGGATCCGTATGGCTGATTTCTTTCTCATTGAACTAAAGCAACAGGAAAACGGATAGGTTTTACATCTGATTGAATTGCCAGAAGCAGTGGTAGGACTGTAAGGCTGCAATAAGAAGAAAAAGTAATGGGCATAATAATCTTAGGGGCACAGGTGCCCTCTTGCGGTAGGAAGGCTGTATTACACTGAAAAGGAGCATCCTACAGGATTGCATTTGTGCAATCAGTCTCCCACATGAGTAATGTTATCGTGAGATGCTGACAGGCTTTTAGAAACCTAAGTTCTAGAACAGGCCACTGCAGGGTTTTGGAGCCCTGTTATGTATTTATGTAGCCTTGTGTTCCACCTCCCCTAGTGTTTGCCCCTGCCCTCTTTTCCCTTTAGGTTACTGATAGGTACTGGTGTTCAGCATGGGCTCCATGCGTTTCAGAGAATTACCCAGGGACTTTCCAAGAGGATTGGGCAGTGGGGAAGTATATAGAATCATAGAATGGTTTGGGTTGGAAGGGACCTTAAAGACCATCTAGTTCCAACCCCCCTGCCATGGGCAGGGACACCTTCCACTAGACCAGGTTGCTCAAAGCCTCATCCAGCCTGGCCTTGAACACTTCCAGGGATGGGGCATCCACAGCTTCTCTGGGCAACCTGTTCCAGTGCCTCACCACCCTCTCTGGGAAGAATTTCTTCCTGATATCCCATCTAAACCTCCCCACTTTCAATTTAAACCTGTTATACCTTGTTCTGTCACTACAGGCCCTTGTAAAAAGACCCCTCCAGTTTCCTTGTTGGCCCCCTATGACTGGAAGTTACTAACTTAATTAGGATAAAACTATCATGGGTGGTCTCTAGCTAAAGCACTGAATAGCCTTTCAGATTGTTGTAAGCTGCTGTCTGTGCTGGGATTCTTGTTGCAGTGCCTTTGTAGAGGCTTGGTAGGACCCTGGTTCAGTTCCTTAGCAGTCTGTCCCGTAATGTGGAGAACTGCTGAGGTAAGAGCTTTCATGTGATGTAGTATGGTAGCCGAAACCAGAAGTAATAACGACAACTAAACAGTACAGTGATTAAAAACATGTTTCTGGTGTGAGTGCGTTCAGCACCGCATGAGATGACTGCTCTGAGTTCCTTTGCTTGGAGCCCGTGAACATATGGCTTCAAGAGGCATGGCACGGTGCTGTGTTGTAAACACGAGAAGTTCTCCCACATGCAGTAGCAACAACACACAGCAACCCTAAGGTGTGCTATCGGTAGGGTAGTATGGTGTGGCAGATCTGTTGCTTTAAGGGGTGAGCTCTGAATTTGGCAAAGTAAACACTCCTTGATGTGAGGACAGACAGCCTCCTTCTCCCTGTGTTCCTTCCCCTGCCCACCTCGCCTTGCCATCCAGCTGCAGAGTGCAAGCAACTTAGCAGAGGTTTTTCTGGTATGGAAGTTAGCCATAAAAAGCCAAAGCTCTAAAGGTTCCCACATATTAGCTGATATTCCTGCACTGTCCTCAGCAAGGCTGACTTCAGCCACCTTGAGCAACATGGCAGTTTTCGTAGGAGAACTGATCTTTATGGATTTCTCCCAACTCCTTTCCTGGTAGACTGAAATAGAGTGCAGCTTCCCTGTATGTGGGTTTTAACTTTCTGCCCCAGGACGTGCAATACATTCCTGGTGCTAAACCGCAGATGCCTTAGTCAGGTTTCAGATTCAGGTACGTGACAGTCTAGGAAGGAAGCTGCAAATCGCAGCCAAGGTATATAGCTGTTCTTGAATTTGTTACCAGGTCTCTTCTCACTGAAGACCTACCTGGGAATGCTTTGCGTCAACACTGTATGTTTCATGTACTTGTAAACCGAAGATTAAACCTGTGGTAAGAGTTGGCTGCGCTTTAGAGTGCATCCCTGGAGAGGTCTGAAGTACGTACATTTCTCTGGAAGAAAGCGTGAAGGAATGAATTTCATGACAGGATTGAATGGATGCACTAATGTGCTATTGTTGTGTGAAAGCAATAGGGTTTCAGGGAAGTGGATAAACTTTTTCACTTGGTGAACTCCAGATTAAATTTAGCTCAGTTGAAGTAAACCCAGCTTTTTAACTGTCAGATATACAAGTTCAGCTTTGGTGCATACAAACCTGACTACACTCTATTTTGTGGTTACATGCTTTATTTATAACCAAGTTAAACTCTGTCCTCAATTACACTTGCAATTTTTGTTTTGTTGGGATTGCACTGTTGTAGCTGGGGACAGTGTGGCCTTATTTGAGGAAGTTCAGCTGTTTATATGGACAAAACCTGAATCCAGCTTGCTTCATCATAACAGTAATGGCTATGAGTTACGAACAGGTATAAAATAGTGTTTTCTGTCTAAGCAATTCAGAGGTAAATTACAACAGAGGATGAATTTATTGAGTAGATAGGACAAAATAGAACTGTAAGTATTACTCTTCTAAAAAGACCTGAAATTGAGCATTTTAAAACAGTTGGTGCTGAGCTGAAATGCAGTTATGAATGGACCCATTTCTTATCCCATATAAGCTCATGGTAGTGCATTGGGGTAATTCTGGTTGAGAGGATTGCATTCCTAATTGGCACAGGGTCTTGGATTTGGTTTTAAAAACATAGATATCTAGCTCTGGCTTTGGGCATCCCAAAGCGAAACACTCCTAAACTTTGGAAAAAATAATCTCCTGGTAATACAGCTTTCTCCTTTGTCCCTTTAAAAGGATTGTGGCATGGTGGTGGATTATTATAAACTGCTCTTCAAAACAAACTGTAGTAATATACTAAGGCTGACTTACGAAGTAGTGTACGTTTTGTGGGGAGCATTTAAAAAAATATAGAGTAAGAGAAGCAGGGGGGGAAGTTTGTTAGACTTCTACAGAGCCACAGACTCTGCTTGGGATAGCCAGTCTCCTTGGTTGCAACACATGGCATGGTCTGAGCCACAGTTAGTGATAATGACAATGTGGTGGCTCATTGAAAAGCACCAAACTTAATGCCAGAAGAGGGATTGATTACATGCGTAGGCTGGGTTGTGAGAATCCAGACTGGGAGGCAGCGGTGCCCCACAAGAAGGCTTTTGCTTTCCTTCCAGCTTTTAAAAGTATATGACTATACGCTGAGTATAGTGTGCTTAAAAACTGAAAATTTACCAACTTAAGTCACTAATAGTTCATATACTTAAAATATACTCCTACCCAAAATATAGCTGTAAAATATGCTGTGCTTATTCCAGAATAGTTGTGTGTCAAGGTTGCTTCATTGAAGTGTGAGATCAGGGTAGAGTAGAAAGGTTTCCTGAGAATAGAACCACACCATCTTTCAGGTTGGAAAAGACCTTAAGATCAAGTCCAACGATTAACCCAGCACTGCCAAGACCACCACAAAGCCATGTCCCTAAGCACCTCATCCGCACGTATTTAAAATATCTCCAGGGACGGTAGCTCAACCACTTCCCTGGGCAGCCCGTTGCAATGCTTGACAACACTTTCAGTGAAGAAATTGTTCCTAATATATAATCTAAAGCTCATCTTGTGCAACTTCAGGCTGTTGCCTCTTGTCCTGTGACTTGGGAGAAGGGCTCAACACCCACCTCTCTGCAACCTCCTTTCAGATAGTTGTCTACTGAGCGACAAGGCCTCCTTTTTTCCAGGCTAAACAACCCCAGTTCCCCCAGCTGCTTCTCCGAAGACTTGAGCTCTAGGCCCTTCACCTGCTCCGTTGCTCTTCTCTGGACATGTTCCAGCACCTCAGTGTCTTTCTTGTAAATGAGGTACCCAAAACTGAACACAGGATTTCAGGTGTGGCCTCACCAGTGCCAAGTACAGGGGGACAATCTCTTCCCTAGTTCTGCTGGCCACACTATTCCTGATGCAGGCCAGGATGCCATTGACTGCTTGGCCACCTGGGCACACTGCTGGCTCATATCCAGCCAGCTGTCAATCAACACCATGACGTCCTTTACCGCTGGGCAGCTTTCCAGCCACTTGTCCCCAAGCCTGTAGCATTTCATGGGGTTATGACCCAAATGTAGGACCCAGCACTTGCCTTTGTTGAACCTTATGCAGTTGGCCTCGGTCCGTCGATCCAGCCTGTCGAGGTCACTCTGTAAAGCCTTCCTTCCCTCAAGCAGATCAACACTCCTGCCCAATTTGGTGTTATCTGCAAACTTACTGAGGGTGCACTTGATCCACTTGTCCAGGTCATTGATACTAAACAGACCTGGCCCCAGTAGTGAGCCCTGGGGTACACCTGTCTGACAGGCCTGTCATTCCCTGAATCCTCCTCCTGGCCATTTGGTTAGATGGGGGTCACGCTGACTAACTTCCAGTCAACTGGGACCAGTTAGCCAGGACTGCTGATAGATGCTGGAAGGTGGCTTGGTGAGCACTTCCACCAGCTCCCTCAGTACCCTTGGGTGGATCCCATCTGGTCTCATAGACTTGTGGGATATGTAGTGTGTTTGGCTGGTAAAAGCCCCAGGATGAATTTCTCAGGAAAAAACAAGCTCACAAAGTACCAGAGAAAGAAGATAACTCTAGGATGTGCATTAAAGAGTGGTAAGGTACAAACAGGTGGCACAGATGTTACCTCATCTAGAACAGGCTCCCAGTCTTGTTTTGCCTAATGCCCTTTGTCCAACATGTGGCTTAAACAGCCTGTATTTGGAAGAGCAGAATAGTAAAACCAAACCTTTCATTGCCAGTTCACAGTGTTTCAGCCCTTTCTGTCTTTTTTCTTATCTAGACAAAGTAAATCTAAACTTATTCAGACCCTTCCAGTAAGGGCTAAAATAGTTCAAAAAACAAACTACTGATTGCTTTTTTCAGACTAAAAGGACCATAGTCTTGTTCAATGCATGCATGTTCAGTTATTGTTGGACTTTGTCGTTAGGATTTGCCAGCCTAACTGTGCACGGGGGCTGGACCAGTTGACTTACACAGGTCACCTTTCAACATAAATTATTCTGTGACATGAGAGCATACAGTGAGGCAAAAGTATGTATTCCTAAAGCTATAATAAACAACGTATAGTTAAACATTTCACTTTCCATGCACCCAAGATTTATTATAACTAGTTCTAAATCACCCTTCTGGTCCATAAACCCTCTTTTTGGAAATACTAGGTGAGACTTAATTCTCGATTAAATGGCTGAAACTAGAACACCGAACACTAGAAACTTAAAATTTCAAATTCTGTTTTTATCTTTACCTTTTCTCTTTAAAGGGGAAAGGATATGGTGTTCTACTGCTTTGCAACATATTCTTTTCCTTTTAACCTGTGCAAGAGAGAGTCCTGTATATATGTTTACTGGATATGAAATTTCTATTTAAAACAAAATTTTAACCTTTAAGACTTATAGACTGTATTGCTGTTACAGTCAATAAATAATAGAACGAGATTTTGCTAATGTTACTTTTGCAATAATCTCTTACTAGTCACAGATGCCAAGAAACATGCTTCAGTGGAGAGGAGATGTGTAAATGACTGCCTACCACCTGAACTCTTTCTAAAACAGCCTACACTTTTCAGCTTTAAAAAAATAGCTTTGATCTCTTCAGATTGTTCCCATTGGGTTTATTAGCTCTAGTGGTGTATATAAAAACCTGGTTGTCTATAACAAACTTCTCTTTCCAGGGGAGTGATAGGTACATCGTATCTAGTGACACCAGAGCACAGCTGAAATTTCTTGAAAAGCTTGATCACCTAGAAAAGCAGAGAAAGGATGAAGAGGAACGTGAACTGTTGCTTCGGGCAGCCAAGGTAAGAACTTCTTGCTTTCCAAGGAAGTAGTTGTGCCCTGTAGACTGGGGAACATCTTCAGGTTTCCTCTATTTCTACTTTAACTGTAGTAACTGTTAATCTTGTAACTGGAAATCTGTAATGTTTAGGATAGCTTAGGCTATACAGGAAAGGATTTCAGCTTTTTACATTCTTTAAAAAATCACTAAAGTTCTTTCAAATGTGTGATGGGTTGAACAGTGCTTTTGAGATTATTCTTACTGGTTAAAATTAAATAAAGAAGTATTCCTGGCTCTATTCCTGGCTCTGAAATTGGTAAGTCTTTCTCCATATCTGTGTATGACACTGTTTGAAAATAAGAGTTCACTATGCTTGTTCAACTGGAACTTGGTGAGACCTGCCACCCTGCCAGACGTATTTGTTCTCTGTAGTTAGGTCAGCAGGCTGGCCTCGTGGAGCTGGTACCCTGCCATCTGCGAGCCTCTGATGGAGCCGCTGCTACTAAGGAGTAGGGACCTTCGTCCCCCTTTCCTCCCCTCAAGAACAGGAGCCAGGGGGCAGGAAAAAAAAATCGGTAGATGTTGCTCCGTCAGATGCCATCATCTTCTGTTTCTTGCTTTTTTGATTTTGTTTCAAGCTGAATTCTGGAGCCTCTTGGGTGGAAGCCTAATCTTGACTTGAAAGAATCGTGTTGTACTTGCACAAGTACGACTCCCTTTCTTTCCTATACTTCCTGTCCTTCTTAAGTGTCTGCTGCTGACATGAACAACATCATGCCTAGACTGGACCTGACTGACAGTGTTAGCATCATTTTCAGCTTAATCTTGCTCCAGGCTAGAGCAGAGGCAGCCGGCCCAGATGAGGGAGGGGGGGTGTGCGTATGTGTGTGGAGGGGGAGGGAAGGAAGCCAGTCTGGATTGAGGCATTTGCCCCTGGAGCTAAATCTTTCAATCGCCAGAGAAAATTGTCATTTATTAAATATTTAACAGATTCGATGGTGTTTGGATGCCAGTAATTTCTATTCAATCTTTTTCCTCTTCCTTTGATAGAGCCGTTCCAATAAGGAAGATCCAGAGCAACTGCGGTTAAAGCAGAAAGCGAAAGAGGTAGGACTTTCCAGTTACCATGCTTGCCTTTGTGTGTTGAGAGAAGGTTGGCAGCCCTGTCCTGGCAATTAGGTCAGGGTTTATTTTGCTGCTGCATACCATTTGCAGAGGCCTTGGGGAAGGACAGGAACTGCCTCAGGCAAGGGCAGTGCTTCAAATGAGGTCAATGAATTATGAGCTCTCTTTTTCTTTTTTTTTAACATTTTATTTTCATAGTTTCAGTCCTGTCTAGAAGCAGTCCTTTGTAAACTGCAGCAGTACACTCGGTAGGAATATAATGTGGGATTAGGTGGGGGGGAGAAAAAAGGAAGGAAAAAAAAAAAAGAAACTCTGAGATTTAGCATCTGGGACTGTACAATAGGCTACATTTTTCCAGGGTAATTGTTCGTTTTGTAAATCTGATACTGCTTATAATTCTTTGGCTGGGAGGCGGTACTGGGATTTAGTTTTAAATGGAAAACGCCTCTGGCTTTTAATTTTCTGGGCCCAGCAGTTTTCTGCTCTGGAATGGAGCCCTTGTTTCACACAGTTCATGTTTAGCTGCAGGGGTTTTAGTTTATAGCTTAGACTGGTTAAGCTTTTACTCCCAGAGGCCTCTGCATAGCAACTGTAGAAATCAACAAATAAGTTCATTTATGTCTGCAGCCTCCTCTCAGTAGCTGACTTTTTACATTTCCCAATATCCATTTCCTGACTTTTCTAGCCTGAGAGAAAAAAGCTCCACTAATTGGAGCTTATTTTAATTGAGCCTTAATATTGGATCTCACTGGAGTTGCCCCCAGAGCTACTGGGAACAGAATGAAATGAAAGTACCTAAGGTTGAAGATGTGTGTGCGTGTGTATGTGTGTGTGAAATTTTTCACTTGACCTACAGATTCTTTTCCCTGCTGAATAAATCATCAAGCCTATTCACATTTCTGATTAAGGATCTGACAGCAGATGATAATAAAGACAATTGAGGTGTGAGACGTGTGATACAGAGCTGAAGAAATTGGTTTCTATAGTTACTTGACTGATTTCATGCAATTTTTAAGGATCTTTGTGCTAAATGAGAGTGATTTTCTGAGCAACCTTTTTCCTTAACTGTGCCTCTTGAACTATGAAATTTGTTGTTGCTTAACATTGCTGCACTTGGCTCCTAGGTGCCAGCAGCAGCAGCAGGTTATTTATGAATGCTTTAAAGGCCCTTATTGTTTGGATTAATGTAGGAGCCCAGGCAAAACAAATGGAAATCCAGTAAAATAGTATTAGAATCAATGCTCTGGATCTGCGCCATGGTAGAAATCTGTAAAATAAGAGGAGGGAGAAGGAACTTGCTTACTATTTATGGTTTAATTCTTTCTTTCTGCTTATAACTCTCTCTTCGTGCTTACAATCTGTGAGTACAAAGTTGCCCTAAAGCCCTTCCCGGTTTGCCTCTAGTGCCACCAGGATCAACGATCAGTGGGTGATGCTAATTTGTCTTGTTTTGTAGGTGGCTTTATCTCTGCATCATCTGGTTGTTTTTAGAGGTTCTTTCTTCTAACAACACGCTGCAAAGCGATTCATTTGTGCAGCTTCTTTTTTCTCTTTTCCTCTGAACAATAATGGGTAGGATCTTGAAAAATATTCCGTGATTTGGATATTTAGTACAGAAAGAAGCTGAGGGTGTGTTTGGGTCTTTTTAGATTGGTTGGTATTGTTAATGAGATCACTTTTTAAAAGTGGCATATAGGTGTAAAAAAAGGAGCCAACAGAGTGGAGAAGGCATCTAATTTTAGTGCTTGGTGTTCTGCTAAGTGCCTGAGTTCACCTCCTTCCAGTGCATCTTATCCTGTGCCAGACTAACACAGCCTCCACTGCACTTGTCCATAATATTTCTCCCTGCTGTGCTGTTACCAGAGTAGTGGTCTCCAGGTGCCTCACCAGAAGAAGAGGCGGCAGATGTGCCTCTCAGGACAGCACAGGTCTGTATTGCCTTGCCCTCTGTCCTGCTGCTTTGTTCTCCGGAGAATGAGGCAGCCAGAACTTCACCTGGCTTCACGTGCCACATAGGAAACCCACTTTCTCTGCCAGGGGTGCTTTCTTTTCTGTGAGACCGTCTCAAGCTTGAGTGGAAATGAGCCCAAAGGCAGCTGGTCCGTTTTGTATTGACAGTTTGGAGATAAATGGTCAGCACACATTTGTATTAAAAAATGCAAATGTGAGTAGAGTGAGATAAGAGCAAAATAAAAATCAACAAATACCCCAAGGCTGAAAATGGTAACGCAGAAGCACAGTGTATACTGGGATGAAAGCCTGAAAAAGCTCACCATTGTCTGTCTTGTCGAGTTGTGAGTCTAGCCTGCTCCTAAGAAAGCACACTTGGGAATTTTGATACCTCTGTCAGCTGGAACCAGATCCTTTCCAGACCACTCTGGTTGAGTATCCACTGGAAAGCCTCATCTGATCTGCTTAAAGTTCTTTTAAGAATGAATATGGGCCTGCCTTCCTCAAAGCTGTCTTTTATGTGTTGATGGTGAGCCCAGGGAAAAGGGAGAGGGTGTGGGGTGATGGCACTGGAGCATGTTCTAAAGTAATGTTTCCCAAAGTCTGGAGTGTACGTCCTAACAATGAATACTTACAAATCCAGGATGTGCTGTCATCCAGCCGCTGGAGGCCACATCTTAACATTGCTGGAAGTATACCCAGAGACTCGGCAGTGGATTCTTTTATCCAAAAGGCTATACATAATTGCTGTGACCTTTTCATCCCTTTTTGCGTGACCTATTGCCTCAAACTGCCCCTATGCTAAGTCATTTGCTTTCCTATATTCTCAGTCTATGTAGCTTGCTATGAATTAAGTCTTTATTTACTTCCCCCTTTCACCTGTTTCAGCAGATTTTAGTACCTACAGGAAGCACGCATTCCTTCCGAGGCAGCTGCAAGGCTTGCCCCAAGCTGCACCTTTGTGCACTCAAGAATTTTGTCCTTGCTCACCTCATGGGCCAGCTCTTTGTGCAACTTCGTTCCCGAAGTCTGGGTAAATTACCCTTGCTTTCATTCCATCTTACCTCCCGCTTCAAGCTGAGAGGATACAGTCCTCGCATTGTCCCTGATGCTTGCACTTTTAAACAATAACTTGGTTTTTAGGTGCTCTCTGCTATTTCTTGTTCTACTTCCAGTTACAAGGAAAATATTCAGTTGATGCAGTTCTTGTAGCTGTATTTATAGTTTATCTCTGGCTTCATCCCTTTTCTGAAATTGAGTAGGTGTAGGTAGGATACTGTCAAATGCGCAAGCATGCCATATGAACAGTGCATCCCGGAAGACCTCTAAAAACGTCACTGTTAAACAGTGTCTGCTGGAAATTTAAATATAAACCCTGATCTTCCGTGCTTCTGTTTCTCGTCTTCAGAAGTGAGTGGGCTTTTGAAGTGAGTGGGAAGGAGAGTGTGGAGCAAGCACCTGATGGACAGCAGACTCACCTGCCCCGTTCCTTGCTCTTCCAGCAGCTCTGTTCACTTAGGACTGCACAGGTCTTCCTGGTCCCTTGTCCCTGCCTGCTTGGTGCACTTGTGTGTTTTACTATTTTCAACATAGGTGTCACAAGACGGCAGCAGATGAGATGCTGAGAAAATTCAGTATCTTTAGTATCAACTGATTGGGAAGAAAATAGCAAACTTTTGTCTCTACCAAAAAAACCCAAAACCCACTTATCAAAAACATGGAACAAAAAGTCTGCATGATTCCAGTGAGTTATATAGTAATGACTGAAATTTAGTTGTTCTGTAGTATCTCTTTGTCAAAAATCATAGTTTTCTTTCTTTTTTCCTTCCTATTTCATGTGACCATCCTAACTTTTCCCTTACTTTCTCTCACATTCTCAGATAACAAGTATTTGTAACCTGACCCTTTGTCTGCTGCTCTCCCTACCATTGCCAACCCACATTTTTAAGCTGATGGCTTGCTTTTCCTCCCCCCATCTTGTGCTGCTTCTGTATTTATTTAGTCTTGTGGACCTGATGGTTCAAATTCGTTAAGACCACTCTCGTGGCAGGGGAAAAGGAAACTCCCTAGTTAACTAACCTCTCAAAACAGCAAACAAGATGCTGCGAGCAAAATAAGATCTCATTGCGATCGATGGGCTTTTTATGAGCCTTCAGTGGCATCCTGAGAGCTTCTGCTTAATTATCTGATTTGTATTATCTTTATTGTTCTGTAGTGTTTCTTACCTGCTTCTGCATGTTTGGAAAAAAAGTAGCATGATTATTGAACATACATACATTTTTGTTACCTGCGGTGTAGCCCTACAAATGACAAAGGGTTATCATCAGAGATACGGCGTGTTAGGAATCTTGCAGAAAGTCAGGGATGGAAATTCTGTGATGCATTAGATAATTGAACAAATTAAAAAGTGAACCAAATTTCCTCTTTATGTGGCATTCATTTTGGTGTTTAGAAGGAGCATAGGAAAAGAGCAGCTGAGATAACGTAATGGATATCCTAAAACCAGCCGGTTGGAAGATGATAGCAACTCTCTCTATCTAGTGAAAAATAATAGCCCCCCAGAACTCCATTAAAGCTGTTCTTGGATTTTCAAATAGCCTTTTCTGAGTTTCTCTGAGACTATAATGGACGTGTAACCAGCTGAAAGTACGGCCTCGGATCAGAAACTTGCTAATAGAAGGAGTTTTAGGACTAAAAGTATGACAGAGGTGATATCGGAGAGCTGGAGATTTCTGCCAAGAGTGACTGTTGGGTGGGCTGCACAGTGAGACGGAGAAACATGCGGGCGGACGATAACTCGTAAATGTTCCCTAGCTTTGAGACCTCAAGAGCGAGCGCAGGGGTATGCGATGTTACGGCAGCTGAACGCCGTTTGACACGTCGCGTGTTGGAAGAGCTGTGCTTGTTCTTAAAGCCGTGTCTTGGCAAGGGCTGGACGCTGTCCCGTCGTGATAATGCTGGTGTGCTGACGGTCACAGTGTTCTCTCACAGCATCGCGTCTGAAACAAAAACTACGGGTTGTATTGCTTTGC